AAGATCCGATAACGAAGACACTTGGAATTTCGTGGAACAGTAGTGAAGATGCGTAAACCGTCACCGCTTCTGCAGTTTCCCCGGAATTTCAGACAACGGAGCGAAACGTATTGCGTAAAGGAGCAACGAGTTTTGACCCACTGGGATTTGTATGCCCATACGTTACTATGGCCAAGATCCTACTCCTGGAGCTGTGGATTCAAGGCTACGACTGGGACAACGAAGTTCAAGATGAAATAGCAGACAAAATCGGAGATTGATTGGAGCAATTGAAAAGTCTTCAAGAGGTGAAGATTCCCTGATGTCTACGACGCTCAGAGCCTATCAAGTCGAAGCGCATTGTGACATTTGTTGATGCCTCTGAGCAAGCTTATGGTGCAGCTGTCTATATGCGCTGCGAATACGATAACGATACCGTAACCAGTCGCCTAATTGTAGCTAAGTGTAAAGTGGCGGCGTCGAAGAGGAAAGAGGATACGAATGCCTGTGCAACCCCCATGACGTGTAACCTTCAGAGAGAAACTGCCCCGAAATAGAACACCACACCAGGAGTGTGGAGACGCGTTGGACGCGCTTGACGCGAGAGTGAGAAGAGTACTACAAAACATGCGCATCAGAGACAACAGGAATGCAAGTATGGAACTGTTGCCCGAAGAAATAAAGGATGCTGAAGAGGAAATAGTGCGCTTAGCACAGCGCGAAGCTTTCCGTGATTAGTACGCCGCTTTGAGCTTAGGGAAACCAATACCAAAGAAAAGCTAGTTCATAAAGCTTAACTCCTGCATTGACGACGATGGAGTTATCCGGAGTGATGGTCGAATAAAGTTGGCAGATTTTCTCCCATATGATACTAGATTTCCAATCATTCTGCCTCGTGGACATTGGGTGGCGAACTATCACGAGAGAGGAAACCATGCCACTGGAGCAAACTTCATTCTTTGCCAGTTGAGTGAGAGATTTTGGATTATCGCCGCATGCGAGGAGATTCGCGAGTGGGATCACGAATGTAATTAATGTAAAAGAAGACGAAGCAAGCCAGCCTGTCAGATTACGGCGCCACTCTCGAAAATGAGGCTCCGTTTCAGCTTCAGACCCTTCACCCAAAGAACCGTAGATTTTGCTGGTCCTTTGTACACTGTTCAAGGACGCGGAAAACCACGACGGAAGAGGTGGCTGTGCCTTTTTACTTGCTTGAAAACTCGAGCAGTACATTTAGAGATGCTTTTTAACCCTCTACGGTGGCCAATTTACGTTTTCAACTCAGTTTTTAACACTAAATTACCTGCATTTACGACTGTTAGTCTAAACCGGGTATCTGAAGCACGCAAATGCGGCGCATGTTATAATTAACTACCAAAGCAATGGCATCTACTAAAGAGATAAAAAGAGCCAGAGATTTCTATGAGCAAAGATTCTGCGGGAGAAATATTACAACAGGAAACTCTATTTTCTTCAGAAAATATCATATGAAGATGTGTTGTAGGCGTGGCTGCTTCTA